TACTTTTAATATTGTCATGCTGTATTTTCCTTTCTGCTAACCAATGACACATTTTCACTTCACTTCTTAATTTTCCTAATCCACACATAGCAAACGTACATATCTATGGGATACAGTGTGTCATTTCAGTCCACCACACTGTGACACTTTTTAATGTTTACATTCTTGAAGTAGTGGGCCAAGACCATCTCCTCTTTTACAAAGGCAAGAGGCCAGGGGAAGGATTGCACTTGAAACAATGGTCACAAAGTGAAAGGGTCCTTCTCCCATGACCTTAGAAATAAGAGGGTCACCATCTGAGAAAGGAAGAGCTATGCTCGTGTCTTGACCTCGGTGCTGTGATTTGTTTGAACATGAACAGCGGCCTTCATACCCGACAAATGAATGCCAGGCAAAGAAAGATGACATCGTATTGACTCTAGGATAAGGCCAACATAGTGATAGGTTGCTAAGCACGTGTTGATGGGATGCTCTAACCCTAAGATTCCCATTGCACCAGTGTGACTCTGTAGTAGAGCGTGAGACTGGCCATCTGCTCTGGGCTATGGACAATATTATTTCCTGGTTACTTACAATTCCACTACGGATGCTGGCTGTGTCTGTCCCTTAGCATCCCACTAGGGATAACACTTTACCTTGAGTTTGTTCTGAAAACTATGAGCCAATATTAAAAATTAAAACATGGATACTACACATAGTTTACTTAGTTTCCTTGCATCCGATAAAATTCTTGCCCCTTGCCCCTGCTCTTTTTGGTTATTGGTGGAACTTCTTTCCAAACCATAATGCAAAATGTATATTGTTGTGATAGATAAAATAGAAATACAGTGAGGAGGGCAAACATGGGAAGAGCATCTGTTCGTCATTTCTCTTGCCAGTCATGAAGATACTTTGAGTCGTATAGGAAATCCCTGCTAGCGCACAATCACAGAAGCACAGCACAATTGACACAAGGAGGAAGGAGCTTAGTGGAAGAGAAGATTTCTAGATCAAAGCTGTAGCATCTGGTGGAAGGAAAGCCTGGCACTGTTCCTGGTCCACCGTCTCCCAGCGAAATGGCCTGCTTCAGAATCTTTACTGAGTTCTGAGTCAGACAAGCACATCTGAGATGTTGGAAAAATCTGTGCATACCCAACCCCGATTTCAAAAGGGAAACCAGTGTCTTTGGGCTGTTCATCTCCAACTTCCTACCTCTCATTTCCTTAGTCAAAATCAAAATGTATCAGCTTCTTTCAGAGCAGGGCCTTAGGGAAATTGTTGTCCAAGTGCTAAGGCAGGTAAACCTTTGTCAGACTAGCAGTTATTATGCTGAGGTAAAGGCTATCTGAGCTGGAAGAATAAAATGTGAGAGAAGGCACATGCTATTATTTGTAGTGTGGAAAATCAGAGTGTCTGTCTACTCTTGGCACCAAGAGATAGCAGGTCATGCATTCCTCAAGACTGTGGAGCAGGATAGGTGGGGAAGGTGGGGTGAGAAGACAAGAATGGAATCCAATTTCCCGGAAGGTCAATACAGAACCTAACCATTGAATCAGATTCTGCTCTCGGCCAGTTCGGTTTGCGACCAGAATCCCGGAATGCACTCTGTTTGTGAACCGAGGTTCCGTGTGTTTCATTTGTTTATTTATTTGCTCCCCTGCCCCTATAGCAGTCAATATTCCTGCTGTGGTCTCTGCCATTTCTTTGCTTGTAAGTGGTTTCCTGGGCCCAGCCTTTTCTACACATACGTATAATTGTTTGATAGCCCTTCTGGAAACACAATGAGCATTCAGCCAGAACACCTTTCTGAACTTTAGGAACTCATGCTCCATTACCTGGCACTAAAATAATAAAATGTTCTGGAGAAAGTCTTAAAACGGCTTCGTATGTATGTGTGTGTGCGTGCGTGCGTGTGTGCGTGTGTGCGTGTGTGTGTGTGCGTGCGTGTGTGTGTGTGTGTTAGGACAGAAACATAACAGCAAGAAAGCATATATTATTGTCTGAGGCAAAAGTAAGTCCCCATTGTTTCTCTCTTTCTGGGTGTTTTAGTGACCAGTGAATGATGAGTCTGTTTAAAAGTTTATTCCACTTGGGCTGGGGATTTAGCTCAGTGGTTCAGCCGCCTGTCTAATAAGCGCAAGGACTCGAGTTTGATCCCCGGTACCCAAAAAACAAAACAAAACAAAAAAAAGTTTATTGCCCTTAAAAATAAATTAGCACTGACACTTCTTCCCGGTGCCATGGGCACTGTTAAGAGCAGTGCACAGGGCGTGTACCGGGAGGAGTCCTAGGTAGCTGTCTTCACGCATTCAGTGAGAATGGCCGCTCCTTCCTAAGGGTTAAGAAAACACGAAAACCACAAACAACGTCTGAAATTATTTTCTCTTGGTTGGCAGGACAGAGGCCTGTCCTCGGGGAAATGCCCTAGGCCCAAACAAAGCCGCTCATCCAACATCTACTGCTGGTCATTGTGCCCACTCTGCATTGCATAATGGAAATGTGGGGATTCCACTTTTCTAGGAAAGGTTTCTAGGTGGAGAGGAACAGGAAGACAGGCAGCGGGAAAGTGTTAGGAAGAACCAGCTACTCCGAGGGTGAGCGTAGTTTGGTAAGCACAGGCAAGCACACCCAAAGGAAGGCAGCCGTGTGGGTGCAATTTTGTCAGGGGTCCTTTGGGAGCACGTGGCTGGCTTTATTTATAAGGCGACTGTCAAATCGGTCTGTTGAATATGGATGAGGTAAAGGCAGAGGTGGAATATTATTGCAGATCATCTATAAGTTTTCAAATGCAACCTTCCTGTGAAAATCCCAGGGCAAACGTGACTCCAATAAAGAAAGCTGTCACTCGGTCAAGTGTGTTTATTTTTAACCCCTATTCAGGCCCTTTCTAGCCAGTATGAAATGAAACGAAACAAAGAGCAGCCATCGACCTTACAGTGTCCCGAGAGCACATGGATTAAATCTGCACACACAGGACACAACCCACGTGGATGGTCAGAAGCCTCAACTACCTGGATGTGCGAGGGCCTCAGGCAGAGAAATTCTCTTTCAAGAACTGAACTTACAAAATTAGAAACATGAACGATGATCAGTTTTGAAGCACATTTATTGTACAGATATGGATTCTCACCGATGTTACAGAGCTGCTAACATGAATAAAATAACAAAGTCTGTGTTCACTAAACTGTAAGTTCCTGACAGTCAAAGTTGGGGCCTTATTGGCCTTTCTATCCAGCCGAAGACAGAAGGGAAGACAGAAGTGGTAACAAGAAAAGAACAAAGGGACAGGCCACACTGGCAAAGATTCTGAGAGGAGGGGGCTCCAGGAGGGTCTTACCTCCCACCTCCTTTTTAGGGTGCTGAGGATCGAAGCCAGGGCCTTGGGCATGCTGAGCACACTCTACTCAGGTGGACCTCCAGCCCCTAAGTGTTGAAGAGAAGCGGAAGGAGAGCCGGGTAGTCCCAGTACACAGGTCTGGCTGGGTGGCCCAGCCTGCTGGGAAAGAGGGCTTGGCCTTTCCCGCAGGGTGAAGGAAGGGCACCTGGTTTGGCCAGGGAAGCCTTGCCCAGGAGCCAGGCTGGGCTCAGGAACTCTGTGCTGTCGATTCTCTGCAGCAGGTTGAACATCTGTGTTGAGCACTGTTGGCACCGACTCCTTCCACAGGACGTTAGTGATACTTGTGATTTGTGTGCCATGGCCCTTGCTTAACATTTTTCATTTTGATTTTTCTATTACTCTAAAAGCTCCAACTTTTAAAGTTTATCTTTCCCACTCTGTGCTTGGGGCTTCAACTCTTTTACAAGGGTTTTCGCCTCCTTGACGGGGAAGGTACACTCAATCCTGTCACTCTTGTTGCACACGTGGAAGCACGCAGGCCCTGCCCACTGGGCCTTTTCACCCCAGACGCCCCCCCCCCCCCGAACTCTGGGGCAGCATGAACCCCAGAAGCTGGTCTGGGCCCAGCCCACACGTGGATTTAGGTGCTTCCTCGACCTTACTGGTGAGAGGCGATTCTACTATCAGTTCTGGACAGCCAGGCTAGTTGTGCCCGGGTCTGTATTGTAGGAAAGGCAACAAAGGTCTGTCCAGCTCTCCCGAGTGACCCGACACACAGCCCAGAGCGGCTGATGCTAACTCAGGATCCCCAACTAGTTCTCTAAGGGTCGCGGGGCAGGGCGACTGTCTTTGTGTTAGTCTCCTGTCTTTGGTTTTGCTTCTCCATCCTCATTCGGAGAGCTGCAAACTGGAAGGAACACTTTGAATTCAACTTCCCTCCTTTCAGACCTAAACCTCTGGCTCCGGTGCCGCAGGGCTCTGGGAGAAGCGGTCCCCTCGGAGATTAACCCTCGGGTCCCCCTTCGGAGCCCAGCGCGGAGGAGGCCAGGGAGGAGGCCTTGTCTTCCGCGCCTCGCGCTGCTCTCCTGGGCCCCGGGGACGGCGCTGTCCGCGGAGCACCTGCTGGGCCCTGCGGGGCGCGGGAGGGAGGTCCCCTGGGTCGGTCCCGTCCTGTCCCCTCCGTCCCGGCCCCG